ACAAATCTCATTGCTAGAAAGACCATTTTCTTTGTAATTTGTGTTTGTTTTATTTTAGAGACTTAACTAAGTTCTCATTTCTTTTCTAAGACACATTAATCTCACCTTCATGTCTAAGTAGAATTAGTAGAAATAGAATATTCTGAAAAAGAACTTTGCTTTAATGTGAGATGAAAGACAATGCATGATCTAAATAGTCACAGCTTTTGTGCCTTTTCACAGTGGAGCTACACAAGGCAAAGTCTCCTACTTGCTAGTCAGGCATAGCCAGGCTTCTGCTCTCTCTTGCTCTCCTCCTACAACCATGTGTTTCCTCTTCTTACACCCTTCCTTATTCTTCTTGTCAATGGTGGTGGTCCTTAGATTCCTTTTATCTTCTTCTCTTTTCTACTTTGTAATCATAACCTCTGTTAGAACTATAAAATATCCAAAATCCTCAGGCAAAGTGAATTCCCATGACATGCAAGTCATCTGTTATAACATATTATACAGCAGTTAATATGTTGTGCATCTCACCTTCAAATAGGAATCTCATTCAGGACTAAAGTTTGAGGCTAGTGTCAAGGAAACATGAAATATTAACCTTAAAAAAATGACATTTAACAAACAGGTAATTCTTTTTTTTCTTTTTTATTATTTTTTAAAATTTTTATTATGTTATGTTAATCACCATACATTACATCATTAGTTTTTGTTGTAGTGTTCCATGAGTCATTGTTTGTGCATAACACCCAGTGCTCCACGCAGAACGTGCCCTCTTTAATACCCATCACCAGGCTAACCCCTCCCCCACCCCCTCCCCTCTAGAACCCTCAGTTTGTTTCTCAGAGTCCATCGTCTTTCATGGTTCATCTCCCCCTCCTATTCCCCCCCCTTCTTTATATCATGAAAGAATTTGCTGTTGAGCGTCTAGTATTATTAGCACTTCTAATTCATTTAGAATTCTGATTTAACATATACAAGGATTTGTATTATATGGAACATAATACTCTTCATAAAAATTAAAATGTTTAATAGTGTATTAATTCAATTTAAAGCTATAGCTCTAAAATTACAAATTGGGAAAAAGCCAAAAAAAATTTTTGGATATTTGCATTTATCAATATGCAGTTCCACATTTTGTTTAGGGTAGGATTGGCTCAATGAACATTATAACTTACACTCTTTTTTTTATTTAAAAATTTTTATTTATTTATTGAGAGAGAGAGAGAGAATGGTAGAGAGCATGAGAGGAAGGAAGGTCAGAGGGAGAAGCAGAGTCCCTGCTGAGCAGGGAACCCAATGCGGAACTCGATCCTGGGACTCCAGGATCATGACCTGAGCCAAAGACAGTCACTTAACCAACCGAGCCACCCAGGCGCCCTATAACTTACACTCTTAAGTTACATATTTTATATAACTTATAGGCATCCCTCAGAGATATGGCATGTTCCATTATAGACCACCACAATAAAGCAAATATTTTGAGAAAGTGAGTCAAATAAATTTTTCAGTTTCCTAGTGCATATAGAAGTTACTTTATACTATACTGTAGTCTCTTAAGTGTGCACTAACATTATGTCTAAAAGAACAATGTGCATACCTTAATTAAAAATACTTTATTGCTAAAATGTGCTAAACATCATCTGAGCTTACTATGAGTTGTAATCTTTTTGCTAGTGAAGGATCTTACCCCAAAGTTGATGGCTGCTGACCAATCATGATGGTGGTTACTGAAGGCTGGGGTCGTTACTGAAGGCTGTGGTGGCAATTTCTTAAAATAAGACAACAATGAAGTTTTTGGCATCCATTGACTCTTCCTTTTACAAATGATTTCTCTGTAGTGCTATTTGATAGCATTTTACCCACAGTAAAACTTCTTTCAAAATTGAAGTCAGTCCTCACAAACCCTGCTGCTGTTTTATCAACTAAGTTCACATAATATTCTAAATCCTTTGTTGTCATTGCAGTAATCTTCACAGTCTCTTCACCAGGAGTAGATTCCATCTCAAGAAACCACTTTCTTTGCTCATCCATAAGAAGCAACCCCTCACCCGTTCAAGTTTGATCATTGAGATTTCAGCAATTCAGTCCCATCTTCAGGGTCCACTTCTCATTCTAGTTCCCTTGCTGTTTCCACCACATCTGCAGTTACTCCCTCCACTGAAGTCACGAACCCCTCAAAGTCATCCATCAGGGTGGAAATCAACTTCTTCCAAGCTCCTGTTCATGTTGATATTTTGACTTCTTCCCATGCATCATGAATGTTCTTAATGGCATCTAGAATGGTGAATCCTTTCTGGGTTTTCAGTTTATTTTGTCAAGATCCATCAGAAGAATCACTATCTATGACACCTAGCCTTATGAAATATATTTCTTAAATAATATGACTTGGAAGTCAAAATTACTTATTTATTCATGGGCTGCAGAATGAATGTTGTGTTAGCAGGCATGAAAATGACACTAATTTGATTGTACATCTCCATCAGAGCACTTGAATGACCTAAGTGCATTGGCAACAAGCAGTAATATTTTGAAAATAATTTTTTTGTGAGCAATAGTTCTCAACAGTGGACTTAAAATAGTCACTAAGTCATGTTGTAAACATATATGCTGTCTCCACGCTTTGTTGTTCCATTTATAGAGCATGTGCAGAATAGATTTAACCTAATTCTTTAGGGCTCTAGGATTTTTGGAATTGATAAATGAACATCGGCTTCAACTTAGAGTCACCAGCTGCATTAGCCCCTAACAAGAGAATCAGCCTGTCCTTTGAAGCTTTGAAGCCAGGCTTTGACTTCCCTCTAGATATGAAAATCCTAGATGGTGTCTTTTTCCAACAGAAGGCTATTTCATCTACATTGAAAAATCTGTTGCTGAGTGTAGCCACCTTCATGAGTTATCGTAGGTCTTCCGGATAACTTGCTACAGCTTTTGCAAAAGCACTTGCTGTTTCACCTTGCACTTTTATGTTCTGGAAATGGCTTTTTATTTAAACCTCATGACCCAAACTTGCTAGCTGCCAACTTTTCTTCTGCAGCTTCCTCACCTCTCTTGGCCTCCAGAGAATTGAAGAAAGTTAGGGCCTTCCTCTGGATTAGGCTTTGGCTAAAGGGGATGTTGTGGCTGCTCTAATTTTTTTTTTTATCCAGACCACTAAGACTTTCTCCATATCAACAATTAGGCTGTTTTGCTTTCTTATCTTTCATCTGTTTACCGGAGTAGCACTTTTAATTTCCTTCAAGAACAATTTCTTTGCATTCACATCTTGGCTAAATGTTTGCCCAAGAAGATAAGCCTTCCTCACCAAAATTAGTCATTTCTAGCTTTTGATTTAAGGTGAAACATGCAACTCTTCCTTTCACTTGAATACTTAGTGGCCATTGTAGTGTTTTTCCTTCGTTAAGTTTTTTATTTAAGTTCCTGTTAACATAGAGTGTAACATTAGTTTCAGGTGTGTAATAAATACAGTAATTTAACAATTCCATACAATACCTGATGCTCATCCCAGCGAGGCCCCAGGGTTTTTAATTGGCCTAATTTTAATATTGTTTTGTCTCAGGTAAAAGGCAGGCCTGAAAAGAAGGAGAGAGAGGGTTACTGAGTGGAACTGTCAAAATGCACATAATTATCAATAAAGCCATCATCTTATATGAGTGTGGTTCATGGTGCCCCAAAACAATTATTAGTAACATCAAAGATCACTGATCACAGATAACCATGACAAATACAATAATAATGGAAAAAGTTTGAAATATTGTGAGAATTACTAAAATGTGACACAGAGATACCAAAATGAACAAATGCTATTGGAAAAATGGCACCGATAGACTTGCTTGACTCAGAGTTGCCACAGGTGTTCAATCTGTCAATAATGCAGCACCTGTAAAGCACAATACAATGAGATATGCCTGTTATTTTATATTACTTGACAGGTAATTTTAATACTTCATTGATGTTGCTTTTATTTTGGTACATTTACTCAGCATGATTTCTGTTGTTGTATTGTTTAATTGACATGAACAATAAGAGAAATCTGATGAAACCTAAAGAGAAAAAACGAAACTAAAAAAACTTATTGCCTTGGAGAAAATTATATTTTATAAAAATTAAAATTTTTATTCTTCAGATAATGTTATTCTAAAAATTATATACCTAATACATATCCTTTACTTTACTTAACCGTACCTCTTGGTTGTAATCTGGCAGAAAATAATGTATTTGCTTTTTCAAAGAATTAACTTAGAAACTAAATTAATATATATATATATAACACCAAGGAATACCACCACCTCTTTTCCAAAACTGACTTCTGTGTATATCAATATGTTATGTAATATTATATAACAGAATAGTTCAGTATAATGTCTTCTTTTTTTAGAGGTCAAATTTATTTTGAGAACTCATTGAAATACAACTAAAATAAATAACCAACAAAGTTCTAAGGAAAAGTATTAATTAAATAGCTATATCTATATAATTCTCAAGAAAATTATCTTTTATTCCCATAGGTTCTTTCAAATGAACTTACATTTTATTAAAACATGTACCCTGAACGCTGATACCCTGTATCTTTAGATAAAGGTACAGAAATGCCTTGTGATACATTTGGTGTCTGTCTACCCTAAAGAACAGGTGACATGTATTCCAAGAGTAGCTGGGATGTGCATAGAATTTTAGGTTATAGATACCTGGGAGTAGAGATGAGCGTCTTCCAAATCTCCATTAAAAAAAAGCTACTATATAATTGGGCAAATCGGACTGAAAATAATATGCATCTTAGAAATATTATAGTTAGTTAAACAGCTCTAAAAAGCGGCACTGATGATGTGATGTGAGGGGCTTTGTGAGATTTTAATCAATTTTAATTTAATTTTAATTATACAGCAATAATTCTTTGAACACTCATTATGCATTATTCGTAGGTGTATTGTGTCTTTTGATTTTAAAAAAAATCATCAGTTTTAGTTTTGAATGCTTCTTTTCTTTCTTTTCTTCTCTCTCTTTTTTTTTTTTTTCAGATGACGCGAGAACAATATATACTAGCAACACAACAGAACAACCTGCCAAGGGCTGAGAATGCACAACTTTACCCAGTGGGGATTTATGGATGGCGAAAGAGGTGCTTATACTTCTTTGTCCTTCTGCTGTTGGTTACCATGATAGTTAACTTAGCCATGACAATATGGATATTGAAAGTGATGAATTTCACTGTGGTAAGTACCACCATGACTTTTTATCTACTGCTTTTGGTTCAAAGATGATACAGCACTGTTATTTCTATTTTTTAATTGAAACTCATTTATCTTAAGCTTTACAAGGTTGTGTCTTGAAATTCCAAAGACTGTCATATATTATTTTAAGACTGCATTCAATATGTATCCATGACACACATATGATATTACTACCTGTCCTTTAAGTGTGGGAAATTGAGATCATGATATAGTACCAGATACTGATTCATTAGCAAGTTAGAAAAATTTAACCTATACGTATGAACTATTGCTTGCTAAACCTGGTAATCTAGAAAACAAGTCTATATTTTTAGAGATGATATTTTATGTTAAAATTAATATTAGATATCACGGGTACCTTTAAAATACTTTACATAGAGTATCTCCCTCCCTCTATATGCTTTCTGTGTAACATACTGCATGATCAAATCTAAACCCTGGACTTTCTCATGGGCCACATGGACCAATGTCTATAATTGTCACCATATGGAGCACTGACATGGTAAATATAAGATACATCAGAAATTAAATCACTCTTTCATGAAAAGTAATAATTTAATAGCAAAAAAATTATATGGCTCATTGATGAATTTTGCTTTAATTTATTGAATGTGTACAATAAAGCTATGAGCCTGACTTATCTGGGAAAAAATTAGCTGCATCAGCAAAGTTTCGTTTAGCTCACTTCATATTTTCTGGCTAAATTCTTAAATTTCTCTCCTCTGCCTTTAAAACTTTCTGCCTTTGCTTTAACACCTCAGACATCTTCACCTTCAAGCAGGTGTCTTACACTTGCTGACCATACTGCTATTATTCTTTAGAATTCTGCATCCTCAGGGGCAAGTGTAAAGCTGGCTGTTTAACTTCACTGATCTTTGTATATTGGGCTGCTTTTTTTTTTTTTTTTAACTTTGCTGTGTATTGATTTAGCAAGGGTAGTTTCTTTCTGAATTCACTAGCATGTAATTCTAACTTGAAACAGAATCTCAAAAGGAAAATGAGCCCAGCATCTGTCCATTATGTAGGGCACTTTTGTTGTGTGCAGAAGGACCCTGGGAGAGCAGGTGGCCTACCTTCCTGAGAGGAAAAACTATAACTGTGCAAATCATGATAGAAGAGGATATGCTCATGGAGGAAAAATGAGCTGAGCAAGGACTCCGTTTCTCTGATACAGTGCAAATTTTGAAGGGTATTCATCGCAAAAGAAATGAAAGGCAAAGAAAAGTTGAGCAGAACTCAGTATGTTCCAGGATTAGAGAAAATAACTATATCCTTAGCGATGGATATGTGTTCAGGGTCACTGATCAAGGTTTGTGAGTCTGTGTGTGGGTGGCTAGAGGTGGAGCTGGGCGCTAGTAGGCAAATTATTGCTTTAAGAGACACCCTAGTAATTCATCTGAACCATTCTTTTGTCCTAAGAGTTGGCTCAGTGCCCCTCCCCTCCTCCATTGAGAATATTTTGGCACAGATTACATTAATTCCACTCCTAGTCTTTTAGTTCTGAGCTCTGTTCCTACCTTCCCTTACTAATGTCTGGGCTTCATTAATGATTCATTTACCACATATTAGGGGCTGAAGATTCTTTTATATGTTTTTGACTATCAGTCAAATTAGCAGTTGCTGACAGCAACTTTTTCAACCTCATTTTTCTTAACAAAACAAAACAAACAAAAATCACTGTGAAAGAGATAAAGAGTATAACTTTCTCCAAGATTTGAAATTTCAAGCATTTGATTATCTCTACCAAAGAGCTTCTTTCTAAAGCTCATGAAAGTTGTGATCAACTCTCTCACTTCAGGAACCTTGATTCTATCCAGTGACCAGGCCATGGAAATTTTCAGATTCAAGCCCTATAAGTTTCTCAAGCATATTTAAATTAATTAAGAAGATAAACTTAAATGCATAATTACATGCCTGCATGCATTGGGCTCCCAATACCTTGCCTCGTGCTGAGGTCAAGGCTGGATAAGCCAATTGAAGGGAAATAATTGAAACAATCACCTTTGTCCTCAGGATCCATGCAGGCCTCAGGGTTTCTGTCACCTATGGAGCTATCTAATTTGAACCTCAGCTGGCCAAAATGTAAATGTCAACATATTCCTGGGGATAATGAAAAGGAGTTTATTTCCATAGGAGTTTTGGTGTTTATTTCTTTAATTTTGAGGATATCTTTCTTTTTTTTAATCACGTTACTTTTTAATAATCAAAAAATAGAAGGTTATTCTTTAGCCATGTAAGCTACTTGTATGTAAGCGAAATAAATGGAAAGATGAAGTAATTATTGTGTCAAGATAATCTTTGTAAGGTTGTATACTGTCCATTTCAATGCAGTAATTCATAATTGCTCAGAGAAATTCTGAATTAAATAGTTGCTGAGTTTAGCAGTTCTGAATACCACACACCAGATTAAGTTGTATGAATTTGAAAAGTGTGAAATAATTTGTAATCCTCTTACATTAGAGCAGTAACGAAATCAATTTTATGTTTTCACTGGTGCATTATGATTGCATCTATCTCTACAGTGAATACCAGAAACCATTTGCCATACTATCATAAGAAGTAGTAAATGACGTATAAATTGTTTGGGGGGTATTATTGATTTATACAAAATGTATTTCTCTTTCATTATAACTGTTTCCATCCAGTCCATGGAAATATGAGGCTGTTAACATCTTTTATTTCAGCAAACTGGGAACGTTACTGTTATCAAAATATTTTGTTTTTAGCACAGCGAGGGTAACTGCCAACCGGTTTTATGATGCTTCTTGAAGTCCATCATTATGACTAGTATTATACATGATCTGTGTGGTTGATATGACCTTATTCTGCTTTTTATTTTGTGGAAAATAAAATCACACAGCTATTGGATACTCAGGTGCAGAGAATCAAGAAAAAGGAAATTAGTTTATACTATAGGGTGAAAGGCTTAGGACAGATATACACCACAATTTCCAGTCTATCAGTGTTAATAAGTGTAGGAATGAATTGAAGAAAGAGGTTGTGAAACTCTATTCTCTCAAGATCAGTATAACCCAATTACGTGTTTTTGTTGTTGGTGGTGGTGTTTTTGTTGTTGTTGGTGGTGGTTGTTGGTTGGCATAATAGCTCTGTGGTTCAATATAAATGGGCTAGTCTAGCAGATCTGTTGAATCTAGGCATTCTGCTAAGGTGATATTCTTTTCTTGGGCCAAGTATTCATCCTAAGTAAGTTAGTTCTATATTTGAAAATTGAAAATTAATATAATAATAAAGTATTCGTTTTAATCGCAAGAGTACCAAGTAAATATTGGTAGCATCAACTGCAACTTCATTTGATTAGCAATGTTAACTAGCCAACAAAAGAAGGATGGAAAAATAAATGCCATTTATTAAGCAAAGAGGGAGAGGAAAGTCATGAATGTTGAGACTGAGAAGTCATGAATATCTAGATATGGGTAAATATTGAAATAATCAGTTGAACAAATTGGAAAACAAAATTCTTAGAGACTTATATGATCAGTGGGATGAAGGTTGGCTGAAAGGAGATCCCACAAGAAGTGGATTGAATATGATAGTCTTTTAGGAATAAAAAGGAACTGGAAATATTTAGTTTAGCCATCCACATACTGTTAGAAGTCACTCTATGATAGTCTTTCCATTTGGTCACTCAGCATCTGCTGAAACCCTCCTTTGGATAAGCAAACCATCCCATTAAATCGCTGGATAGTTGTATTGCTGTTTAACATCTTGCTATTTTGTTGCAGTCTTTCTGTATATAACTCCAATCATGGGATGCTAGTTGAATTCTTTCAAACTGACATGAATTTATTATTTTATCAAGACTACAATTTGTTCTAATACACACATGCGCACACACATATATATATACATATATACACAAGTATACATGTGTATATATACATATACAAATATGCATACAATATACACAGAAATACACTTATACACATTTTCACATCAAGGAAATATATTCTATATAGTTAAATATTCCATATTTCTATTATTCTTATGCAGCCACTTTGCTTCTTTAGCTGCCATTCACCTTCGTTTCAAATATTATCTGTATTATATTATTATCATTATATGTTTCCAAGACTATCAACCTTTTTAAGATATATTTCTGCTTATTGCTGTTGGCTAGAGAGTCATTGATATATCTTTTTCATATTTTTTTTCTTTTAGTGTACCTTTCTAAAGTTAAGAGAGAGTACATGTATCACTGTATTCAGTTTTCTGTTTTCTTATTTTTTTTTAAGATTTTATTTATTCATTTGAGACACAGAGATACAGAGAGAGAGAGAGCATGAGCAGGGGGAGAGGGAGAAGCAGGCTCCCCGCCAAGCCAGGAGCCCGATGTGGGGCTCGATCCCAGGACCCTGGGATCATGACCTGAGCTGAAAGCAGTCGCTTAACCATCTGAGCCACCCAGGCGCCCCTGTTTTCAATGTTCTTAATGCTACAAATTTTAAAAGATAATTTTGAGGGAATATAAAATAATATATTTGCTAAGTCTTCAATCTTGTGCTCTAATACCTTGGTAAATGATGTATCACATATTCCCATCTCACTCGTATGATTATTCTTTTTCTTTATCTTCATCATTAACCCAGTGGCATATTATCCATAGCCATTATCGATTTACCTAAGATGACTAAAGTACATTTGCAGTATGCTGTTATTTGTCAGTGTGCCCATCACCAAACTTGTTACTCCACAGTTTTCTTCATTTCCCCCTTAAAGGGACCATTAGGTCGGAATAAACTTTTCCATCTCTATATAGCTAGCCAGTTCTTATATTTATCAAAGCTGTGTCCCCATAGCAAATGCATTTTATTTGTTTTTCAAATCTATGGACATATACAGGATAAATGGGAAGCTTAAATATGAAAAAACATGTTTTGTTGATGTCTCATTACTTTTTTCTTCTCAGCATGTTCATCACAGATTGTTTCTCTTTATATGACTTTGTTTATTGTCTGGTTTTC